TTTTTTTTTTTTCCCCCCCCCCCCAGATTATTTGCAGGTGTCTTCCCTCGAATGGCAGCCATCAGTCTAGGTGGTTTCATCTTTCTGGGGGCATATGACCAAACACGCAGCTTGCTGCTGGAAGTTGGCCGAAAGAGTCCTTGAAGCAGAGACTGCTTCATATCCACTTCTTTCCAGAAGGGCCTGCTGTGAGAGCCGTCCTTTCAGTGAGCAGCTGTTCAGCCATCTGAGCTGTAAGACCCAGTGCTGAATCCAGTTCTGCTAAGATTATGGCGTTGAGAATGTGCTATCCATAGTATAGGTTGGCTGGAATGAAGTCATCCGTCTACATGCCAGAAAGTTCAGAGAAGAAAACTATGTCCATGGCGGCACTTTGAACAATTTTCTCAGAATCCCTTAATAAATAAGTTTGGTATTGCTGAGGCCAGGCCTCTCGAGAGCTTTCATTTGATCTGTATCTGGTCTTTCATTTCCTGCCACCTGATGGTGGATTCAGCAGACGGCAAGATGGCTGTAATTTTTAAGAGAATGGTGAGAAGGAGAAATGTTGCATGTGTGGGTGTCTCCCCCCAGGTTAAGTTCTATTGTGTAAGGCTAGTGCTTTGTTGAAAAAGAATGAACTACAGTTGCATAGCAAACATTCTTTCTGGGTAACCAGGCTGCAGTTTGTAATTACCCTCAGATTTTACCTATAAAAAACACATGATTGTGTTGTTTTCCAGAGAAGTGTCCAGCAGCCCATGTGATGTGTGAAAGAAAGCCGTTGCAGCCCAGGTGACTAGGTGGGCCCGACTGGCTTCAGGCAGGAAGATTTGGTAGGCCCATTCTTCACAACTCTCTGTCAGGCTGGAGGGAGGGCCCGGCCAGCCTTGAAACGGCATTGTTCTCTGAGTTTTAAACTCAACATTAGAAGTAGAAGGGATGGAATGGAAAGGTCACCATACTTTGGGATTTTTTGAGCTTGACTAACAAGCTCCAGGTGTAGAAAAATTCACAGAGAAATCTCAGGAATCTAGCAGTGTTGTGTCTCCCCTGCAGCAATAGTATACGATTCTGCTTTGTCTAAGGTTTTTTTTTTTTTTTTGGAAAAAAAAAAATAATTAAAGCAGAATGACTGCATTTGTACAGGAATCTCTGGAATTAAATGGGATGAAGAAATGCTAGTTAACATAAGTAAAAGAAGGACCCCAACTATATTAACATTTATAAATGAACCTTTATTAAAGACACTTCAATGCCATTTGTTAGACACTTCAATATTTTACATGGTTTTCAATGTACATTGTACCAAAATTTCTATAAATAAATAACTTTGTACATAAAAGTAATACTTCCTCTTTCACATTGCCTCTCAGAAGCAGCAAATTCACATATTTTGTGGAAGTAACATTTATCAGTTAAATGTTGAGAACAGAATTCTAAATGTGCTTACCTTTTGAACAGTGATGACATCTGACAGTAAATATCATGAGTAACCATTTTGTCAATACCGCCCCCTTCAGCTTTTGACCAAAGGAACTTGCTTTCTGAGATTTTAAGGACCTTATTTGTTTCTATGTAACTTTTACTGAATTACACATTGGCACTCACAAGATGATTAGCTACCGGTCTCAAAAGTGCAAACATACCCAGAACCCAGGTCATGGGCTACAACTCGTACAGTCCAAGCCCAGTTCCATCTGTGGAAGAGAATGGTGTGGACAGGCCTGCTCTGGCTCCTCAGTAGAAATAAGCTAGCCCTGAAAAGAACTTGATCCTTTTTATTCCCCAGGGCCAATGTAATATTAATTATATTGGCAGAACTAAAACATCACTATTGAAAAATCCACAGGTACCAACACCAGCAGCCTTTACCTTAACAAAAAGACTCAAATAACAAATGATACTGAGAAGACCACATTTGCTTTTATCCTAAAATGAGCTTCAAAGAAGGAAGAAAGGCAGTGCTTACTTGTTCTGACCAGTTGCTTGTGGTGGATTTGACAGCCCTCCTTCTACTCCTAAAAGACAGAACTTAAACCTCAAGAAAAAAGCACTCCCTGCAGGAGTGAACAGCATCTGCAGGCAGGCATGCTGCAGGAGCACCGCACACAAGCAGTCCCGATAGGACACAGGAAATCTCCTGAAGCAGCCTGGAGTCTGTCCTACAAAGTGTAGTACAAATCCAGGGACTTCCCATCCTTCTCAATCCACCAAAAGCTCCTGGGAACAAATGTGGTTTTAACCTCTATAAATTCCAGCCATGCATTAAGGCACCAGAACTATTCCCCACCCCCTCCAAATAAACAGCAACCTGATATGAAAAATAATATTGTCAAAATTGTATAGTCTTTTTCTGTTAACCATGCACTAGAGATTAAAATAGCCTCTGTAAAAGATATATAATATATATGAAATCTCTGAAAACTCTTATGTACAATGGTATCAAATACTTTTTCTGCCTTTTGTACACGAATAGCCTCTTGCATTTCTGTGCTTCAGATGCAAGTCCTTTGAACGACTGATACTCCACATGGAAGTTAAAACTATATACAGATCAGTGACGCTTGTACCCAAGCTTCCTCACAGCCTCTCCTACCTCTCTTTCCATAGAGATTAGTATCACAAGAGCTGAGGTAGACAAAGCCTAGCTTTTCGGTGCCAACAGCAATGGCACCCTCCGTTTCCCAGGAAGCTGTCCTGTCAGCGGTGTGGACTCGGGACTGGAGTCGCAAGCCTGGGGGAGGTGGCCGTTGGAAACCAGCAGGTGCTGCTCTTCACCAGGGATTGCAAGAAAACGCGAGGAGACCTCCGTGAGCTCTGGATTGCCTAGCGTCAACGAAGATGCAGGCGGGAGGTCTGTGGAGTCCGGTTCATACAACCTTGCTAAAGTCCAAGAGGAATCCCCTACAAGAAGAGAGAGGGTGTGTCAGACCCTCCATCCTGACCATTTAACTGGCTCTTAACCCACCTGCTAGTGATTCTGTAGAAGACAGTCAAAAGTTACCTTTTGCATCTCGGGATGCCACTGGCTTTTTCTTCAAAGACATCGGCATTCTGTCGTGGTTACTAGGGTAGAGGGACCCCCCGCAGTCAGTGCAAGACCCATCCACAGTCCCACTGCACTGATGATGTGGAGAATGTTCTCTGTCACTCTGACTGGGCTCCAGGCCGCTCACTGTACTTGGCTGTGCTCTGTCTCTGGGCACAGGCTGAGGGTAGAAGCCTTGCTCCTTGGAGTAACTGTCCACATCAGTGTTGCAGTCACTACATGCAGCCCGGCCACTGTGTTCTGAAGGACAGAGCCAGAGATGGATTAGAACCATCCTCCCTGAAGTCTCCCCACACACAGAACGGAGGCTTCCTCTACTGCCCCAAGGTGAGGGCCCTTTGCATCAACATGAGATGGCCCCTTTCTCCCCAAAGTATGTTTCCAGAAAAAAGAAATGGACAAACAGCAAGCCGTTAATGAAGAATGCAGTCTTTCATGTTGAAATGTTCTAGATTAAGTTAATTTCATGCTGAGAGAATGCAGTCATACTACTTTGGTGGAAGAAAAAATATCCCACTTGAGTTAGGTACTATGCAGTGTCAACAGTCTTTTGAACAATTAGAAATTTAGCCTCAAAACAGCCCTAGTGAAGAAGTACTCATTTAAACTCTACATTCTGTTTGGGCCTTGCCCCTTAATGAAGTTGCTTATACATCTAGAAGATTCATGCTCAGGCTTACCACACCATAGATTCACTTAGGAGATACATTATTCTGGAATTAAAAGAGCCAGGCCAGAGAACATAAAATTTGGAAATGGTCATAGAGAAATCACGCATCTCTCCCTTTCATTTAGTGACAAGATCAACTCGAATTCCAGTTTCAAAAAGAAACTATGTTTCCTGATGAAAGCATCTCTTACCCATCTTATGTGGACCAGGCGTCCCATCGGCCTTCTCCGTCACTTTCCACGGCTCTTTACTATACCCAGCACAGAGCTTTGGCTGCCTGCAGGTAACGCCTTGAGCATCCACCTCCGGAAAGAGACTTGTGTCTCTTGGACAAACACCTGCAATGTATTCCCACACAATGAGAAGCCCAGGCTTAGCATTTCACAGTGAGCCTTAAGAAAAGAATGGGCAAGGCTACTAGGACAGTCATTTTCTATAAACATTCCTTCGAGTGGAGGACAGCTGGGCTGACCAAGAGGCCCGGTGAGGGTGTATTTTCTAATACTGTCTTCCCAGCACGCAGGCCTCTCGGCACTGAGCCACCTTCAAGGAGCTGTTCTCCAAGGATAAACCTTTTACACCTTGGGCACGTGCTCAGAGTTCCCCACCATCCAAAGTTGGTCACCTTAGTGAGAGCTTTCTAGCATGAGACGGCAACACAGTAGTCCTGAGCACTCCTCCCACAGAAGAAATGGGTTGGGTTTATTCCCTAGAATGTCCTTTGCAGCAATTGTCCCAGGCAGGGCACCTCATCCTGACGGGCAGATGCTAAGCCCAACAAGTGACTTCCTGAGGGGACAGGACTTTAAAACCTTGCATAACTTGCAGAGACTGTGTCCAAAACAACAGAAGCCCCTAGTCACACCAAATGTGTCCCATCTAATGCCAGTCACCTGCCTTGGGAAGGAGGTGGAGGCCACCTTCAGTACCTGGAGACACAGTCACGTTATATTTCTGCCTGATTGTCACTGAAGCCTTACCGTTGCTCTCAATGTGCCCATTGGCCTGATGGCCACCCTCAGTCCTGACCACGGTTTCCTGTCGGTCCGAAAGGGTCCCCTGAGAAGAGAGGTAGCTTGGAACATCTGGCGGCACGATGGTTTCGTCTGCAAGGAGACAGGACGATGCAACGTGAAAACCATAGTGAAGAGAAATGCAGACACGCATTCCTTGCCAGGCCCAGAAAAAGGATCAGTGACAGCCATCAAGGCTGTGTGGAGACGGCGTGGCATCCGGCACATGACAGGCCCTCCCACAACCTGCTTGGCCTGCTAGCATGGCAGGCAGGTGTCTGGCAGAGTCCACAAGAGATGGAGGATGGTGGGAAAGGAGACGGGACTCACAACAACACAGCGCTGTGAGGCTGTTCCAGGAGCAACCCCCACGCGGCAGCGCCTAGGGTGCCTCTGGGCCACCAAGGAGAGAAAGCGGAGTTCACCAGGCACTTATATGTGACGGTATTCCTGTTAAGCTCCTGAAAGTTAGAATGGTAGCAGTGGGACGAAAGCCTCAGCCACCCAGAGTGACTCCATGCTCCCACAGGCTCTGGAGTTTTGAATACCCTGAGATTCTTGGAAAGACGACCTGACCTGCCCCTTTCCCAATAGCACTGCTGGTCCTCCCTTCTGGAAGTCCCCTCCGCAGGCAGCGCCTCACCTGTGTTGGTGACGCTGTACTCCTCACTCTTCTTCCGGGTCTGGTAGATGATGCACACCCAGACCAGCGATGTCAGAACGATGCTGCACACCACGGCGATGGTGAAGATGCCCACGGTGGTCCCATCCTTCCTGCAGCCCGGGGTGAGCAGGATGCTCAGCTGGCTGTGTGCGCGCTCCGTGCCCAGCGCATTGGACATCTCACAGGTGTACCGACCCGCATCCTCCGCCACCACGTTCTGAACAACAAGCAGCTGGTTGCCGGGGGTGAAGTGGTGCCGCTCGGTGAGGCTCAGCGGGCGGTCCCCCTTGAGCCAGGTGATGCGGGGCGCAGGGTTCCCAGTCGCTTTGCACTGCAGGGCCACTGTTTCTCCCACAGACACCATACGGTCTTCCAAGGGCACCGCCAAGGACGGGGTCTCTGCAGATAGCAGAGATCTTAGTTATTCTGAGGGCCTCAGTTGCCAAGGCTCTGCCCTGTCTTCTGGAGAAAGGACTATGTAGCATACAAATGAAATGCCTCTGAGACCCTCCACCGGAATGGCAAGCTTTTCAGAGGACCTTCCCACACAATGACTAAATCACTGCCAAGCGGGGTTGGCTTCGACAAGGAGAATGCCTTAAAAGCCCCTACTAGCCGGGCTCGGTGGCTCAGCCTGTAATCCCGCGCCTTTGGGAGGCTGAGGTGAGTGGATTGCCTGAGCCCGCGGGTTCGAGACCTGCCTGGGCAGCGAGACCTCATCTCTACAATAAATCAAAAAATCAGCCAGGCATGGTAGCGTGCGCCTGTAATTCCGACTACTTGGAAGGCTGAGGCGGAAGGATTGCCGAAGCCCAGCAGGTTGAGGCTGCAGTGGCCGGGAGCAGCTGCTACACTCCAATCTGGGTGACAGAGTGAGACTCCAACTCAAAAAAAAAAAAAAAGCCCCTACTATTGCCTCTCTTGTGACAGGCCTGTGTCCCTGTTCTTTGCCCAAGACCATACCCTGCCTGCCCAATTCAGAGGGCAGCCCAAATGGTGTATTTTATATCTAAGTCCTATGAAGACTTCCTTAATGCTCTGGCTATCCATTTTTTTTAAAAAAAGAGATGGAAACACTTGGTCAAGAAAAATCCTAAAAAACAGACCAAATTTTCAAATAAAGTAGAAACTGTCCACCATGCTTGCCACCCCAGGGTCCCTCGGGAAGCTTGAAAACCTTGCCTCTCAGCGCCTATGATATTAAGAGTGCGTATCTCTCTCTCTCTCACACACACACACACAGAGCAGCAACAGCCAAACCTAAGACAGTCAGGGTGGCGTTAGCGGAAATGGATCCGGCCGAGTTCTGGGCAGTACAGCTGTAAACCCCCATGTCATCTAGTTTCACGTCGGTGATGAAAAACACGTCGTCGTCTGGCATGACGTGCATGCGGCGCTCGCGAGCGGCAGGGAAATCTGTGCCTCCGTCCTTCTGCCAGGCGATCTGGGGGCTAGGGTGGCCAGTGGCAGCGCACTCCAGGCGGGCCGTGGTGCCAGTCCGGATGGCAGTGTCGCGGGGCACTTTGGTGAACGATGGCAACACTGGAAAACATATGCACATGGGGTCAGGCCATGGGACAGCTAGATGCGAAGTCAGGGAAACCCTCTGGCGGACACACCTCCCGGCACTGCACCTGGGTGCCAGGGTCTACCCAGGACCACTGCTGTCACCTGGGAAGAGCTGCCAGCCTCCCTCCACGGCGGAGCGTCTCCATCAGCTTCTCCTTGTGCACATATGCTGACTATACACCCTTCAGACGCCAGGCAATCAGTCTACACAGGGGTCCCCCCTAAGTGCAAGGGCCTAGTGTTTGCTTACCCTAATTACCCACCAGGAGAGAACTCAGAGAAGGAAAATACCTGCTCTGTCAAGATGGAACTGTGGAGGGAAGGTGAGCGTGCCTGCAACCTGAAGAAAGTGATGGCTTTTCCCTCCAAGAAGCCATTTTGGACAGGTGGTGTGGGGCCCTGCGGCTGTACACACACAGCCAGGAAGCATTCAGCTTGCTGGCTTGTGTGACCTGAAGATCAATGCCCTGACAGAGTGGGCAGCATCCAGTAATAAGGCATCACCACAGAACCTGTCAACGTTACTTTGATGAGAGTCTTAACAGTTCAGTCTTCCAGAAACAACGAAGACTCCCACACAGTTAGCCAAGACAACCCAGCCAATGTAAGGTAGGTGTTTCTCTGTGGTCTGTAAAGGCTTAAAGAGCACAATGGATCCGGCACTTCTGATAAGCCTCAAGACCACTCTTTTTAATCTGAGGTTTAACAACCAGGAAAACCTTAGATTTTAGGTTACTGGGTGGGTGGTAGTTAGCTACACAAGCTACCTACCCTTCCCCCCGTGCCCCAAATACAGAACAAAAAAATGGCCACCTTGACAGGCTCCAAGGCTGATTACTGAGTAAAGGAAGCTTGTCAACCCTCCAGGACACTGTCAGGCCAGGTGCTCACACTAACCTTGCATTCCACAGCCTCTAGAGAAGCAGGGACTTGGCCCCACCCAGGTTGGCCTCTGGCTTCAAGGCTGTTTCATTCACTCAGAAAACAGCAGTTGCCCCAGGATCAGAGGATGCTTGGAATTTGGAAACCAAACATATTGGCATATGGAGGATAATAGATAAAAAAGCAAAGCTTAGCTCCACAATTTCATTTAATAACTAGATTTTAAAAAATCACCAGAAACTAAGAATCCACTGAGAATAACCCTTTAAACCTGCAAAATGTGCTCTGGGGTAAACCCAGAGGACAGTATGACTTAATAGCATCCCCGAGAAGCATATGTGTGTCCTATCTCAGCCATTTCTACATGGAAAGCTGAAAACACTTTCGGGAGTATAGTTCACAGGAATCTCACTCTAGAACAAAGATGGCACTTCCATACCATTCACAGTGAGCCTGGCCTTGTGAGAGTAGGTGGACCCAAAGTGGTTGGTGATGACGCACTGGTAGCGGCCCTCATGCCCAAAAGCGACCTGACGGAGGTGCAGGATAGTGGTGTACTCCATCACTTCCCCATCCTGTGCACGGACATGAGCGAAGTTCTCCATGTCAGCATTGACCAGGACTTCGTTGTCCTTCTTCCAGGCAAAGGTCATAGGGGAGCTGCTGCTGCTGGCTGCTGAGCATGTGAACCGGATGTCCTTGCCTGCCACAGCCATGGTCGTCTCTGGCTGGGTGATGATCTGTGGCTTTGGAAAGTCATCTGGGGAGAGAAGGGCCAACCATAAGGCACCAGGCTTTGGTAACACACAGGGACCAGCTGCTGTTCAAGAACAAGAAACTGGGTCAGATACCAAGCAGGGACCAGAACTTTTATGGTCCCTGTTCATCCTTGGCCCCACCAGATGCTGTAAGAGTCATAGCATAAATACCCTGCCTCATCCATGATAAGTCTATGAGTAATGATCACCATATGATCACATTCCTTGATTAGAAATTAACCCACTAGTTGTCGATTATCAAATCAACCAGCCAGCAGTTTCTTTGAGAAGACTGGAACTGACATTACCTGCTTGCTTTCAGACAAAACACACAAAACGCACTTAGGTTGGGCATTACCAGTCATGACTGCACAGACCTTACCCAAAAGGAGTGGGGATGTGAAGCACTTCATCAATATCAGAATAAGGACTTCCAAACATCTGCACCCCGTGAAAACAATAAAAATACCCACAAAAATGGTCAGAATCAAGTTTCAGAATTCTGGAAAACTAAAGGCTAGAAATAATCTATGGAGTACTGATTCAAGAAAATAGCTACATCTCAGAAAAGTGAGCTTTGTGTTTAACTTATTCTAAGTCCCATTCCTCTCTCCCTAGCTTCTTGGTAGCCTTGAAACCCAGAAACCCAGTAACCATTGAGGGTTCCAGAATGGGTTTGGTGCTTCCCAAAAGCCTCATCCACGGAGAACTGTCACTGTATGACCTGTGGGCAGCAACTTGGAAAGACCCATTCTCAGGATTTACATTTGTTTGCCCTAATGTAGTCTGCAAGGTAAGCCCTATCCCCAGAGCATCTGACTAACACAATCGGCAGTCTCTGTTCAACAGCCCAACTGTCTGAGGAGACAACCACCAGTACAGACACGCAAGAGGTTGGCCAAAAAACTAAAAAGGAAAACAGGTGAATGAAATGTCAATAGTGGGCTCTGAAAAGCCTGGCACATTCCTAGGGATTGAGAAGGCTGCATGCATGTACCGAGGCGATGTTCACATCCAGGAAAGACCTGAGGAGGGGGTCCTCATGTCTCATCTGTGGCAGAGCTTGAGGATCTGCACAAACAGGAAGCGATGGTATACCCCAACGCATGCACGTATGTAAGCATGCGTGCGCGCGCACGCGCACACACACACACCGTGGGTAAAGGATGGGAGACATACTGGTTGCAGTGACTTATGGACTTCTCAGTCCAATCATTAGCTAACCACTCAGTTAACCAAGCAGGAACTTTAGGGGCTGTATGGACAGACTTTACAACCTTTGTCCAGAAAAGTAATAAGAAAACTGTAACAATAAATAGCAACAACAACAACATCATAAGGGAGGATAGAGGAAGTACCTAATTTCCAGAGTTGCCACATTATTTTAAATGCTCAATTTTCAACAGAAAATTATGAAACACTCAAAGAAAAAGGAAAAAAGCAGTCAATAGAAACTGTCCCTGAGGAAGCTCCGACTTGGACTTACTAAACAAATACTTTAAATTGCCTATATAGGCCAGGCACCATGGCTCTGTAATCTTTGGGAAGACAAAGTGGGAGGATTGCTTGACCTTGGAAGTTCGAGACCAGCCTGGGCAACACAACAAGATCTTGTATCTACAAAATAAAAATAAGAATAAAAATTTTAAAAATTAGCTGAGAAGCCAGGCTTGGTAGCTCAGCCTGTAATCCCAGCACTTTGGGAGGCTGAGGTGAGTGGATTGCCTGAGCCCGCGGGTTCAAGACCCTCCTGGGCAACTTGGCAAGACCTCATCTCTACAATAAATCAAAAAATTAGCTGGGCGTGGTAGCGCACGCCTGTAGTTCCAGCTACTTGGAAGGCTGAGGCGGAAGGATCGCTGGAGCCCGGCAGGTTGAGGCTGCGGTGGCCGGGAGCAGCCACTGCACTCCAGTCTGGGTGACAGAGTGAGACTCCAACTCAAAAAAAAAAAAAAAATTAGCTGAGCATGGTGGCACATGCCTATAGTCCTAGCTACTCAGAAGGCTGAGGCTAAAGGGTTGCTTGAGCCCATGAGATCAAGGCCATGGTGAGCCATGATCATGCCACTGCACTCCAGCCTGGGAGATAAAGACCCTGACTTAATAATAAATTAATTAATAAAAAATATAAATAAATAAAAATTAAAGGAAACCATGTATAAAAGAATTGAAGAAAAAGTATGAGAATACTTTCTTACCCAATAGAGAATATATATATAGACAAATTATAGGTATGAACCAAATATATATTTTGGAGTTTAAAAGTACAATGGCTGCTGGGCTTGGTGGCTCAGCCTGTAATCCCACACTTTGGGAGGCTAAGGTAAGTGGATTGCCTGAGCCAGCAGGTTTGAGACCCACCTGGACAACTTGGTGAGACCTCATCTCTACAATAAATCAAAAATTAGCTGGGCATGGTAGCGTGCACCTGTAGTTCC